AGGATCTAGGGGACATTGCAATCAACATCCTCATATCTAATATTACACATTTGTCATTAATATTTATAACATAATAGTTTCTAGGATTTTTGAGAAGTTACTTTCAATAGCTATGGGCCGGTAGTTAGTTATGTCGTTTTTAGTACCTTTTTTATAAACGGGGCATATTCGCGACTCTTTCCATACTTGTGGATATTCTTTATATTTATGTAATTATAGAATTGAATATGATTTTTTAAAGCTTTTGTGAACATTTTATCATAATAGTAAACAAACATCAATTTTATCCAACATTTTCATAGAATTTCGTTTTAATAATAAATAAAAGTGACTTAAAATTTCAAGTTGTCAATGTCAGAAAAAGTAATTTAACGAAATGAAATGTATTTTTAAATATTACAAAGGACGCGATGAGTGTCAACCTAAATTGTGTCTGTAACCAAGTGTTGTCAGTAAACAAACAATATTTTTTGAGTTGAAATCACGTTGAATTCCTAAAACCAAGACTGTAAAAATGGAAAATGTGGAAATTCCATCTGGGATTTTAAGGATCATACAACAAAGAAATGAAGGAATTTCAAGATTGGAAAACCAAAGAAGGGGTGAAAGGCGTAAATGAAGATGTCTTGCTGGTTATTTTTTCAATTTAAGTGAGAAATTAGCTCCATCCACATTGTGGACTAAATATTCCATGTTGAACTCAACTTTGAGAGTTTACCAGAACATTGAAATTCCTAAGATTGGAAGACTAGTGGCATTTCTAAAGATTAAGCACAAACATTTGCAACTAAAAAAATCCAAGGTCTTAGAAAGACAACAAATCGAACAATTTTTGCGTGAAGCCCTAGATGAAGATCATCTTATGAATAAGGTGGGCTCTACTGAATAGTTTAACTGAGCTATATTTATTAAAGTTGTTTTTAGGTGGCGTTGATATTAGGAGTTTTTGGCGCTTGCCTTTGCGAGGAATTGACTCGTTTAAGCATAAACAATATAGAGGACAAAGGGCAGTGAATGGATGATGTGGATACATCATGATTTCAAATACTAAAACGAACAAACCAAGAAGCTTCGCTGTGTTAAATGAAGGATTTTGTGTTAATCCAATTGAATTAATTAGAAAATATTCTAAGCTAAGGCCTCAAAATGTGCAGCATAAAAGGTTCTCAAGGGAAAAAGCACACGTCAATGTGTTGATATTAATAAGCTATCAAAAATCCCTAATGTTGTTGCGCGATTTTTGGGCTTGACAGATTCTAATTTACATACAGCGCATGGCTTGCGTCGCACATCTGCAACTCTCTTGGCCAATGCTGGAGGGGATATACAACACTCAAGCGCTACGGTAGATGGAAGTCATCTACCGTGGCAGAAGGTTATATAGAAGAGTCAATTTCCAGCAAAATTGATATTGCTAAAAAGATACGAGGGGTGCAGGCTCCTGACGCAACCACAAGCAAAGGTCAACCTGTTCTATAAATTTAGCACAATCACAAAATGATTCCAATAATCATTTGGCATCAAATTACGGCTTTACCATAAATGTTAATGTTGATATTAATAAGTAGGTAGATTGTAAGTTAGTAGCATTTTAGGTTATTTGTTGACTTATTACTGTTTCAAATTGGTTTTCTAATAAAAATAGAAAAATGAACCAAACGTTTGTCTATTTATGATTTCTATAAGTCACTAGTAGGTTATGTCATAACTTACTAGTGACTTATTGGCCACATTATTCCTTTAAAACCAAAGAAATTATAGTATCATTATATACAAATGTTGGATAAACATATTTATATACATACAAAGTAAACCCCGCACACAATTAACTATGTTATAAAGAAATAATTAAAAATACCAAAAAAAAACGTATTTTACGTTTTATAAACGCCCCCCTTTCCCTTTCGCTCCACGAGGCGCAACTGGGTTCACAATTCATAATTACCTGGGCTTGTAGCGCAGAGAACTCACCACCAACCAACATTTTTAATCCTTAGAATTAAATCGAGTTTCTTTATCTAGCAAAAAGGGCTAGTCGCAAACGAACGGTATGACGTCACAATATGGCTCTCGTGCCTTTCGCCGTGCTCCGTCTTCATTAACTCATTCGGGGTAGAAATTGTTGTTAAATAATTAACTACTGGAATCTCCTGGTCTTAGAAAAAAAAACTAAATATATTGTCTCCATTATTTGTATTTACATAAAATAAGAAATATATCATATAACACAAATATCCACTAACAAAATATTAATAATCTCAGAAAACTGCTCGAATTCTAGAAACAAAATACTTTTTAACTAACTTACACAGGATGTCTTTGTCAAGGAATGTATTTTTACAATAACCAATTAACATTTTTGTTTAGAATTATCCATTTATTATTTGCGTACTATTTAATTGAAAATTACGATAGTCTCTTAAAACATCCTGTATAACATATGTACAAAATGTTAAACTAGAGATTGTACTTAAAATTACATTAAAACTAGTGGACGGACTTCGATACGGGCGGATAAATTGGACATCAAAGAATAAAACTAAATATAACTAAAAATATAAAATAATAATGACATTAAACAATAATAAGTACACAAGCAGGATAATTATTAATATACAGGGTGTTCTGGAAGTCCGTCAGGAAACTCCGGGAGGTGATTCTGGGGATTAAAAAGATAGCAGTACTATGTAATGAATATTTTTTTCGAATTGTCAATTGTTTGCAAGTTACAGCTTGTGAATTCTGTGATGTCTAGCATGGGAATAAAACATATTTTGAGTTCTAGGTAAAGTGCCCTCTAGTGGCGCCTAATGAAACTGTTTCTCTGACTGGTTCAATTGAGCTTCATCTGTTTAGTGGATGTACCAAATGAGAGACTAATCGAACTTGAAATTAATTTATTTAAAAAGGAAAATAAAAACATCAAACTTTTACAAGCAGACAATTGACAATTCGAAAAAAAATTTCATTGCATACTGCAATTATTTTAATCCCTAGAATCACCTCCCGGAGGCATGACGGACTTTCAGAATACCCTGTATACTGGAGCTATACACGGTTATCGACATTTCAATAAGAAAGTCTTAGCTAGTTAATCTACTTACGTAGAAGACTTAAACTTAATATATCATCAATTATTGCCCCTAATAGTTACACAGGATCAGTGGCGCACCTTAGGGGTTTCAAGGAGTTAAAGCACATATATTTTTTTATTTTAGAAGACATTTATGTGAGTATGATTAATTCATTAACAAATTACACATAAACAGGCACTTGAATTTGACCCCTCAAAAACAACGTTTGCGCGCCACTGCTTTAAAGAGGTGGTCCTTTATTTTAACGTAAGAATACATTAAAGATAAGTATTATTATCAATTATCACAATCTAAAAATACATAGATAGGTACTCTACTTAAGTATAATGGAATGTTCAGTATGGAAATTGGACAATTAAGTACATCTTACAGTTTTATCGAGTTTTTACACTCCAATAAATGGATATACATCGCATGTGAATAGTTAACATAATAAAATATATAATTCTCAAAACCACTTTAATAACGCTCGTTGAACTAGCTTTTATGCATATTGAAAACTCATATCGTTTAAGCGCATCAGAGATATGAAATAAACCATTAATAACAATTTTTATAACCACACAGCAAGCTATAAAAATGATGCAGTCCCATTTCAACAAAAAATAATTTGAAATTAATGCATAACTCTGTCCTTGTCCAGTTTATGACATTGCTACTAACTAATGACAGTTCTACTAATTAACACATCCCAGCAAACTTTCATTTGTAGCAGCTGCCATCTATTGTGCTTACCGCCACTGCAGGGTTGAGGAACTGGAGATGGCGCTAGATTAACCTGTGACTCGTAGTTATCTCAATATTTTTAAGTAGCAAGTCTACTTTCTATTCAAAGCAAAGGGTAAAAAACTTCATTTATATTCAAGGACGATATTCATAAGTTTGCGACGTCTTACGTGGGGAGATAATGCATCAACGGTTCCAGTAATGCTATTTACCTAAAAGCATCTTATGTACGGGATTAGCGTGGCAGGTGATGCTCATCTCTTCTGACGAATGAAGAGGTTTCCGATTTTGCCCTTCTTAGGGCATTCGTGCGGAATGGAGACGAATGGAATCGAGGTGGTGTAACAAGAAGAGGATTTTAAAGAAAATGTTTTGTTGACGCATAATGTGATACTTTTCGAAAGCTCTTGGAAAGGAAAGTAAAGATTTGGTATTACAAATATACAGGGTGGGACATTTTAATCTATGCATCCAAATTTCTCCGTACCTTAACGAAATACGGAAAAATGGTTCAGACACAAAAGTTGTTCAGCACAATGGGGCTGTGCAGCTAGCTTTGACCTTGAGATTCATTTTCAAGGTTATTTGTAGGTCTGATTGTTTTTTTTTAATAGGAAACACTATTTTTGACACCGTATTCGGAACGAGCGGAAAATTTTCCGTCCGAAATGATATTTTCAACTTTTCGTGACATCGAGAAGGTCAATTCAAGGCTAAATGCCAAAAAGCTGCCTGGTAACTGTTTATTTGCGTTTTTTTGGCGGAATAAACGTTGTGAAGGTACCTTTATAGGAAATATCAAATTCAAAAGTGACAACGACCTTAACAATTTTGACCTTGAGGTAATTTTCAAGGTCATTTGAGTGTCCGACTGTTTTTTTAATGGAAAACTTTGTTTTTGACACCGAATTGAAAAAAGGGAAAAATTAAACGTCATAATTGACATTTCAATTGTTGTGACCTTGAGAAGGTCAAATGTTGGAAAGCTTTCTACCTGTTTGCTTAATTTTTTGAACCGATTTAGGTCTAGACTCCCATTGTCCTGAACAACTTTTGTCTCGCTTAGGTACGGAAAAATTTGGTGCATAGATTAAAATGGCCCACCCTGTAGATCTATTACTAAAAAACAATTGAAAATTTTTAGCTCTGTTATATGCTGCCATTTATTATTTTAGATTTATGTATTTAACTTTGTGCTAATTTTAAACTAAAAAAAATTACCTAGAAGGGACTCTATGTTCTGTTTACATTTTTGTTAACAGAGTTATACATAAATCTTTCCAATAACCTAATTATCTAATTAAGTATATTTATTGAACGAAATTAATTATTAGGAGTGATGCTTACATTAAAGCTGACATTCTAGTTGTGACTAGATGAAATTTAAGTACGTTTAACTAATATTTTGCAACTCGGCACACCCATGAACACTTTTTTGTTTAATAAGAGAAAGCAATACCCTATCCAGGGACTGTTACTTAAGTTAACTGTGGTTTTATAGACGGTAAAAATTTAATGGCGTCGTTAATGTGCTTAGTTATAAAATAAAAATCAAGTTAAGAAAATTGAAATAACCAACGGTGCTCTAAAGCAGCTGGTACTTAAATTAGATTTTATGCTAGTCCCGTTAGGTATGGCACAAAATCGAAAAAAAGATGTTCAGGGATTGCATGAACGATCCAATGAGTCATAGGCGCCGCCAGGAAGGGGGCAAAGGATTAGAAAATAGTTAATTAAGATAAATTAAGACATTTTTCAATGATGTGACATACCTGTTCCTTCAAAAATTAGTTTTGAACTAAGTGAAGTTGATCTCGAGGAAAAAATAATGATTTATTCAATATGCAACATAGTTTCTATCTGTTCTACAGTAATAAAAATTGCACAGCTCCCCAAAGCGAACGAAATTTGCGAAAAATGTACACAATAATATAACAATAATACAACAGTCTAGTCCAGACGCTTTTGAACAACTTAAACTAGTTATCCTAAAAGAATAATAAAGCTAACACGATACAAGGTACCTTTTCGCAGTGATGTGAATCTGTACAGAAATCAGGTGAAGACTAAGCTCTGGGAGGAAGAAGAAGAGCTCTATTTAGGATTGTTGGACATTGCATGGTTGTCGTAAGCGTAGTCTAGAGTGCTGTCTTCAGCTGGTCTTCTGCTGATGGACGTGGTTACCGTTACAGGACTGTGGTCTGAGTGGGTGATAGTTGCTGGCATAATATCTAGTCGCAGATCATTCTTTTTGGTCTCTGGCATTGGTACGTTGTTTTTGGACGGAGTCGAGTCCTCTTGTGTCTGGAAATGGCGATTGATAAGTTTAATGCGATTTTTTGACAATAGAACTTAGGTAAAAACTGGTATTTTTGCATGCTTTTATTCAAGTTTTTGACGTCTTTAAAGGGCCTGTATAACGCTCCACCGAATATAGTACGGTTCAAAATAAGTCGATTTAACTAAACTTGTCTTAGTTCAAAAATTGATAATAAAGGAGCTAAAGGGTGTCAAAGTTAAAAAAATTACATTTTCTTTGATATCTTTCGACTACCTCGAGCTAATTTCGTGAAATATCGTATCTGGGGTACAAGCGACCATTCGGACGCATTTACACTGCCAAAACTTTTATTGAAGTAGAAAAAACAAAAACAAACAGAAACCAAAAACAAAAAGAAAAAAACAAAAAAATTTAAAATAAATGAAAATAAAAAAAACACAGAAAAACGACCCTTTTAAAGGGCTTAAGTTTTATATAAGATGATTCACAACTTATCCAAAAAAATTTGGGAATAGTTGCAACATGAAAATGAAGTCTAATAGTAAAAAAAAATTTGGAAAAATCCTTATAGTTTACGAGAAAAAATTATTGAAGTCGTACTACTTTCAAGCATTACATCGATGGACAACTGCAGTCTCTAGCGTCATTCGCAATACGCGTGGCGAGCCACGTGGCCTCAGCGACTTCCAATGCAATCATCGTTGCGGTAGTGTTTACAATAGGTTTTTAGTACCTAGTTATTGTGAAAAATGTCTTGCGTGTATAGCAACTCGGAGTTGCTGGATATAGTTTTAATTTATGGCGAGGCATGACAACATTTGTGTTAGTTTGTAGAAACAGTTTCCAGTTTCCAGTGCCGTGCCGTGTATTTTTAAATCATTTTCTGCCTTTTTTGACTTTTTCTTTACAAAATTGTATTTGTAAGAGTCCCCTGTACATCCAGATTTTTTTTATAAGTTTTGGATCACCCTGTATGAATAAAGATCGGTAAATAATATATATTTTGAGTTTTTAGCTGAAATTGTTGAAATTTTTATAATTTATCCAATGAAATTTTATCTATCTATTTAAATATCCACTTATTTTTTTGTGGATATGAGAATAAGTTTCAAGCGTTTGAGGTTATGTTTTTATGGACATAGCATAGGTTTGAGGCTTCAAAAATCCAAAATATTTAGCTCCAGAATAGAGTTTTCAAGGAGTCACATTGTTTGGTTTGGAAAATATTCATCGTTTGACTTTCTAACTCAGATTTCTTGGATTTGAGGTTAGTTATTTAATAGTAGAGGTTAGGGGCTTCAAAAATAAAAAGTATAAGTATAGGGGCTTCAAAAATAAAAAGTATAAGTTCCAGAAAATAATTTTCAAGGACTTTTATTCTTTCTTGTGGAACATATACATTCTATAAAATTCTAGCTCAAGTTTTCAGAATTTGATGTTGGGTTTTGAAGGTTTGGGGTTAGGTTTTGAAGGGTTTGAGGTTAGGTTTTTATGGGTGTAGGTTTATGGCTTTAGAGTTAGGAAATATAAGCTCAAAAATATAGTTTTCAAGTAATTATACCCATAGATTTAGAAAAGGGTCAGTGTATTACTTTGAGGTTAGGTTTGATGAATTTGAGGTTATGTTTTTGGGTTCAGGTTTAAAGTTGAAAAGTATTGTGAAGCTACATGATTATTTTCGTACAATCAACCTCAGATAAGAAATTTTTAATTTGTTTATTTTTAAATACAGAATTATTTTTTTTGGTCTTGAGACTGATGGGTTCTCACTCAATTTAAACAAAATTCCTATACAGATATATCAAATTATCGCACCAGGATCATAAAATTACGCATATTTGAAGAATAATAAAAAATAAATTATCACTGTACGGCTAAAATAGCCGACAACGTACATTTTTTTCCCACATTTCCCACTGTGCGCCGCTGGACTGTCCCCCTTGCGTCCAACCGTGAAACTTTTCAATTCGTCCGTGTGTCTCTTGATTATACTCCAAAGCCTAATCGGATTCCTTCCGACGTACCCTCTAGTTCTTCTTCGACAATAAGAGCAAAACTATCCATTAACGGAATGGAAATTAACGCGAAGTCATCCATTACACCGCGAAGTACAAAAAAAAAACACTACGCGAAGTTGGCTAAATTAAATTTTGTTCCGCACACCTAGCGGCGGTCGATGTCACTGCGGTATGATATATTATTATGTCCCGGGATTAGAGTACCGAGTAACTTTCAGAAAGGGCGCTTTTGATGCCAGCCTGATGACTTATTAATAATAATAAGTCTAGCCGCTTCGATTTAATTATCAGGCCCGGTTTTGGGTGAATTTCGAGCTAACGGCCGTTTCGAAAATAGTTGTTTGTTTAAAACTAGGCAGTAAAGAACAAGATTTAATGCCGCAACCAATAAAGCAACAAAGGCATTAAATATACTTTACTGCCAAGTTAAACACAATTTTTTCATCGATCAATTTAAATTTTATCAAAAAAAGAAAAATTCTTTAACTTAGTGATTTCCATTATTCAATTGTTTTTTCTAATACTGTTATGTTTATAAAAATTCATAAAAAGAGCTAAAACTTTTATATCAAAAACTTTTTTGTAATTTTAATAATAAACTTACAATAAGTTGTCAGACTATAGTGATTAATCCTGTATAGGGTGATTCACTATATTTTGACCCCTCCTTTAACTTTTTTGTTTTAAGAATTATAAAAAAATGTGAAATACAAAAGTTACACGATTTTTTATGAAGTTTTCGAAAATGATAGTAGAAAAACAAATGAAGTTCAAACAAAATGGCCGCGGATGTTAACTTTGTTAATTTAAATGGAACACCCTGTAAATTTTTACATATCCCTTAGAGCAGGGATGCACAGACTTATAGGGAACAGGGGCCACTCGGGAAAAATATAAGCCAAGGACGGGCCACTACAAACAATATTTATTAACACAAAATTTTTTATTTTTAAATAGTATGAAATACAATGATAAAAATAAAATAACCTTCAAAAATGTTTGTTGTAATAATTATGTAATCATTACAATGTAATATTTCATGTTTTATTATTTTGATGCATGACATTGCACTGAACTAACAAGTTTTTTTTATATTTGGCTCCACATTACTTGTAGCCACACGTATAATTGCTTCTAAATTTTCATTTGCCAGACGGTTTCGGTTTTTCGTTTTGTTAAGTTTCATCACTGAAAACGTTTGTTCACAAATATACGTCGATCCAAATAAGCTTGCGCATTTCAATGCATTTATTCGCAACTCTTTATAAGCGTTTTTATCAACGCAACGGTAGAAGTTGAGTAAATTACCTTCATTAAATTTGTTTCTTAAATTATCATCATTTTGCATGTCTATTAATTCCAGCTGCATTAATTCCGGCGCATTTTCGGGTGAAATGTTGAAAGGATTGCTGAAAATGTCCAATAGCGGTTTAACTTTTTTGAAGTCTACAGAACGATTTTCAAAAGCTTGTATCAAAATATCAATTTTTTCAACATGAGCGAAATTGACGTCAGTTTTATTGAACTTCTCCATAATTTTTTTGTAGTTCGGAAAATGGCCGTAATTGGCTGAATTGATTTGTGTCCTGAAAAGACTCATTTTGCATTGAAAGGACGAAACATGAGAGTATAGCTGCGAAATCAATTGATCTTTGTCTTGGAGTCGCGTATTTAAGACATTCAAGTGATTTGTGATGTCTACAAGAAACGCGAAGTCACACAGCCAATCAGGGTTGTCGAGTTCGGGGACGTCGTTTTTCTTTTCCGCCAGAAATAGTTGGATTTCTTCAATCAAGTTAAGAAATCGCTGTAGTGTCAACCCACGACTTAGCCACCTTACTTCAGTGTAAAACAGGAGATCACCATATTCGCTTTCAATATCCTCGAGAAATTGTTTGAATTGTCGGTGATTGAGACCTCGTGATTTTATAAAGTTTACGGTAGGTACTACAACTTTCATATCATTTTCAAATCCCAATAATTTTGAACAGAGGGCTTCTTGATGTATAATACAATGAAACTGCATTAATTCCTTGGTATTTATGTTTTTAGTTTGTAAATATGTTTTTAACAGAGTTACTATCCCAGATGTACTTCCAACCATTGAAGGTGCTCCGTCCGTTGTAATTCCAGATATTTTCGTTAAATCCAAATCCATTATAGAACATTTTTCTAGAAGAGCTTTGAGCATGTCACTTCCCCTGGTTTGACTTGTCAAGGAACTCATACCAATCAGTTCTTCACTCACTTCAAAATTTTGCGTTACACTCGTAAAAATATTAATAGTTGAGCAGTTGAACTTATATCTGTAGATTCGTCGAGCGCTATAGAAAAATACTCAAAACTTCTCGATTTCGTAGCTAATTGCTCTTCTATATTATCTGCTAATGCGGTAATTCTTCTTTGAACAGTCATCCGATTTAACTGAATTTTTTTAAACTTCTTTACATTTTCCGGACAAATTTTTTTTGCGGCAATATCCAAACATTGCTTAACAAACTCACCATCTTTAAAAGGCCGACAAGTTTTCGCTATTATTCGAGATATTTCAAAGCTAACTTCAGTGGCTGTTTCAGCATCTTGAATTGGTTTTGTAAAACATAGATTGCTGGCCATTAGTTCCCGTTGTAAAGTGGAAATTCTTTGCGTTCGATTTTCGCCAGTTAATTTGGTAAAAGTTGGATGCTGGGTTTCATAGTGCCTTTTTACATTATATTCCTTCGGAATAGAAACACTACTCTTGCATATTAAACAGACAATTTTGTTATGCGAAGAAATAAAAAAGTATTTTTCGGTCCAAATATCATGAAACTGTCGATTTTCATCTTCAACCTTACGACTACGTTTCTTACTGGGGCCTGGTTTATCCATATTTAATATTATATGTTACAGTCGGTAAAAGCCAAATTCGAACGACGAAATATTTACTCGTCACAGATTACAGTTCTCAAACAGTATAACGTTCGCTTATCCGTAGTCAAAACTAAACTGCCCCGGTAGCCGGCGATGCGTCGTATTTATACAAGTTACCAAACATCGAGAACCATCCACTTTGTTCGGGGATCGACGTGTTTCGCGAATCTGTAATCTAGTTGATACGACAGATTTCTAGTCTCGAAATAATATGCTTGGACCGGAGCGCGGCGAGTAGAATACTTTTAAAATTCGTTGGCGGGCCGCATAAACATCGACAGCGGGCCGCATGCGGGCCGCGGGCCGCGGTATATGCATCCCTGCCTTAGAGGCTGCTCTAATTTCACTATAAATGTTTGCAATAAATAAAATTACTTTCATTAAAGAACAAATTTTACTTTTAATTTAGCGACAGTAAAAATAACGTTAATGCCTAGGCAGTAATTGTGACGCTTTAGTGCCGCCAGCTTGTTACTAAAACAACACATTTAATGTCGATCGGCGAAAAAGGTTTTTAATAGCAAAAACTGAGTTTTTCTGTGCTTCCGACGATAACAGTTCTTTTAGACTTCCAACAACTTTTCTTTTTAATATTTATTAAAGTATGAAAGAAACATATTGTGTTTGTTAATTCAGGAAATCATTAAAAAGTGAATATATTTTTATTTTATGAAGTTATTTGTCATGTTGTGCGTAATCATATGATTATTTGCAGTACATGCGTGATTCATCATCTTTTGTAGACCTTCATATGTTTATGACATTCTAGTGGAGGATAAAAACACTTCTGTAGGTATACAATAATTATTGGTTTAGTGAAAATTTCTTATTTTTAAATCAAATTTAGAGTAAAGTAAAGAAACAACTTGAAAATTTATTCTAGTAGCTTGAAAAGAACTGGAACCACTATACAGTGTCTCAATATTGACACAGCCACCGTTTTATAAATGACAACTAATTTTTTTTATTCGAAGTTTCTCGATTTTCATAGAACTTAAGTATTAACTTTGTAAGTTTATTTCGAGATAAGAAATCTCACCATCTTAGATAACAATCAACCTTAAACTTAAACAGATATTTCGTGTATGTCGTTTCTGTTATGTTATGTGGACACATTGTGTGTACATTTCTTTTTATTTTTCAATTTTAGGAATGAATTATGGCTTGTTGCCAATAAGAAGGAAATAAAATTACTCGTCACGTGAATTTTGTATTGTAATTATTTATTATGGCTCTGTACTTACTGTGTGGTAGGTATCATTGATTTAAATTTATAAAATTGATTGTATAACATATATTGAATCATGCTTTGCCAGTTTGTTTACAAAATCAAAATACTGTAGGACATAACTTTCCTATGAAGGTTAACTTGGGTTTTTTAATTGTTAGTACATGTCGTATTAGAAAAATAAAATATTTTTTGTGGTTAATTACGTATTTTTAGTAAATCCAAATGTTGCAATGCAATATACTTTCGTTTTACAAATTTAAAAGCGTTTATTCCGACCATGATTACTGTGTGTACATGTGTAAAAAAAGTTTTAAATTTACTCACAATAATTACTATTAAGTAATAAAATAATTACAATGTATTTAGGGTTTCTGGTCGAGACTTCTCGAACCGAGAATTCCCGGGAAATCTGGCCTTACTCGAGACGAGAAAAAAGTGTCGAGAAATCGAGAAATTTAAAAATCACGCGCGTCTTAAATTCTTGACGAGTTCGTTTCGTTCATGCTTCAATTCGTTTCTCGACAAATAACTGAGCGGTTAAAGTGGTTTCTCTACCAGCTCAGATTTATTTATTTTAAGTTTTTAAGGCTTTAGTTTACTTTGATGATTCTTTTTTAATGTACAGGGCGATTCACTATATTTTGACCCCCCCTTTAACTTTTTTGTTTTGAGTTATAAAAAAATGTGAAATACAAAAGTTGCACGATTTTTTATGAAGTTTTCGAAAATGATAGTAGAAAAACAAATGAAGTTCAAACAAAATGGCCGCGGATGTTAACTTTGTTAATTTAAATGGAACACCCTGTATATTTTTACATATTTGGATAGAACGTTCCTTGTCGAGCATAGTCATATAGGGTTTGTTGGGTCCATCTCTAATAATAGGCGAGATAATATTAAAAAACGAAATGATGTTTTTTTATTAAGAAAATAAGACATCTTGTAATTGTTAGACCTCTTTCAGGCATTTCTGCCTTTTTTCCAATTACGTAAGGATTTAGATTTAGTTGTAATATATTTTGACATATCGGACATTGATATAGTCCAAAATGCGTATAGGTATTTTAAGTAAATCTCACTAATTAGACCGTGTGAGGCCAATTACTCATGGACAATCTTATATATGGTAGGTCGTGACAGTGACAGGTAGTAATGTCATGATAACATTGTTATTGTTTGACAGTTTGTATTAGTATTTAATTAAAATGGGTTACACAGAAGTAGAAAATTGAAATATTATTAGGAATTAAAATAAACTATGGAGAATATCTTAACTACTCTATCTTAATTCCTATAATATTTAAATTTTCTACTTCTGTGTAACCCATTTTAAATAAATAATAATACAAACTGTCAAACAATAACAATGTTGTCATAATATTACCTGTCACTGTCACGGCCTACCATATAACATTGTCCATGAGTAAATAAGCCCCTCACGGACTAATTAGTGCGATTTAGTTAAAATACTTATACCCATTTTGGACTATATTAATGTTCGATATGTCAAAATATATTGCAAATAAATCTAAATCCTTACGTAATTGGAAAAAAGGCAGAAATGCCCGAAAAACGTCCAACAATTACAAAATATTTTATTTTCTTAATAAAAAACGTTCTTTTCGTTTTTTAATATTATCTCGCTTATTGTTAGAGATGGACCCAACAAACCATATATGACTGTTCTCGACAGGGAACGTTCTATCCAAATGTGTAAAAATATACAGGGTGTTCCATTTAAATTAACAAAGTTAACATCCGCGGCCATTTTGTTTGAACTTCATTTGTTTTTCTACTATCATATTTGAAAATTTCATAAAAAATCGTGCAACTTTTGTATTTCACATTTTTTTTTATAACTCTTAAAACAAAAAAGTTAAAGGGGGGTCAAAATATAGTGAATCACCCTGTACCTAGTTATAAGTTTGTGTAGAAATTTTATTATAAGTAGATACCTAATGTTGAAGTGATGAATTAATAGGAAGAACGCTTCTGTATCTTTAAATTAAAGCTTGTTTTTTTAAGATTTCTTCGGTTAAATTCCTTATTTACTATTTATTTAATTAAAAGACTGCATGATTAATGATTATTAATAATTATTATTCAAAAACATTGAAATAAACATAAGTATATTGAAAGTGTTTAATAAAAAAACAAATTAAAGGTTTTTAAGAAGAAACTCAAAGTTTAATTTAGTTTAGTTAGTAGAAGTAGAAACATAAGTAATTAATAAAAATGCTGAATAAATAATAAATGTTAATGATGATAGTTAAGTATAATAGCATGTTTATATTTCGCATTGCAATACCAAAATTATGAGTTTTTTAAGTTTTAGAAATTTCTCGAGAATTCGAGAATTCCCGGGAATTCCTAGTCGAGAATTCCCGAGACCCGAGAAAAATAATAGGGCGAGAAATCAGAAACCCTAAATGTATTCAATAAAATGCTTGTCTAATCTCTATTGGTATTTCTTCGGAATCTAACAAGACGATTTGTTTAAAAATGTAATGTGACATTTCAAACTCTCACACTTACAATAATTTTAAACTGTAACAACCGTTTTCTGCTCGTTAAAAAACATATACATGTTATTTGACTTCGTACCTTTTTGCCGAGCAGTTTGTTTTTTATAGAAGCGAAGGTAATGTTTTTCTTGACCTTCCACCGGTAGAGCTGGAAGCAAAGGACGGCAGCAAGGACTAGTAGCATCAAACATACCAAAGTGAGGGTCACAGTAACCATACGAGACAGTTGTTGGACGGTACCTACAAAAAATTACGGATTAGCAGATTATTCTGTTAAAAGATGAGATGGTAAGCAGTGGTAGGTATTATTGATTTGCTCGACATTGACAGTTGGTTCTTTTCTATTTTTTGCGTCATTTGTGTTAAAACTATGCCTTTAATTCATTCAAATGAAGAATACGCGGACATGATTTTCGTATATGGATATTGCAACGCCTCACTTAGGGAATATAAACAACGATATCCAAATCGCCGTCTTCCAGACAAGCAAACGTTCAATAGAATCTTCACAACAGGTGCGTTCCCTAAACCGACTTTTAAAGAGAAGTTATACGAAGAAGCAATGCTTCAGAAGTGCTTGAGCTTGTTGAAAATGATCCTGCTGCTAGTACGAGAAAAATTCTGTACTTCTGGACAAAGTACAACGGCTGTGCAAGGCACTTTACGAGAAAACGGACTGCATTCCTATCATTGCCAACAGGTACAAGAACTTCTCCCCATGGATCTTTCCCATAGAGTTCGTCTTTGTGAATGGTGGAGCAATCATCTGGATTCTCTTTCAAGAACCCTTTTCTGTGACGAAGCTACATTTACAAGAGATGGAATTAACGATTTCCACAACGATCATGTATGGGCAATCGAAAATCCTCACGCTATTCGAGAAACCCATTTTCGGAGAAGATCCTCCGTAAACGTTTGAGCTGGAATAATTAATAATGAGGCGAGATGTACCGGATTTTTTTGGAGAACATTCTACTTTTACTACTTCAGAACATTTCTTCTTCACATAAGAAGGTCGATGTTCTTTTTACAAGATGGTGCCCCGTCCCATTATCGAAGAGGTGCCACTAATTTCCTCAATGAAAAGTATTCAAATCGGTGGATAAGTCGTGGTGGTCCCATTGCTTGGCCACCTTGGTCTGCAGATCTGAACCTGTTGGAATTTTTCATGTGGGGACACTTATCTATTCAATTGGAAAGCTTAATTGCAAGGATCAACTCATTGAGAAGATTCATACAGTGTTTGATGAGGTAAAAAACAATATGGAAAACTATAACTGGGAACGAGAGCTTCGACAGAGGATTGAGTTATGCATTGCACAAGGCGGTGGTCACATTGAGCAGCTTTATACAGGGTGTTTCAGAAAGACCTCCCGTAAATTCAGGGGGCGATAGTACAACAAAAAATAAGAATATTTTGTCTTATGAACTATATGTCTATCTCCTCTTGTTTTCGAGATACAGAGCGAAGTTCTAATTTATTTGAGGTTAGGTTTTTTGGGCTCCAATTTCTAATGTACAACTTTATTTTCTAAAAATAATGTACTCTTGTTAGAACTTCCTAATGTGGACGGTTTTCGAGAAAAAAAGGCTTTTAATTGAACTCTTACAGTGTCAGGGTGAAGAAAATAAGTGACTTTTCTCAAAGTAGGCTTATGTCAAAACTTATTGATGGATGTCTCATAAACAACGCATACATTCTCAGTAATATTTTAAACTCTAATTAATTTTATATCAAAATTTTAGTGACTGTAATTAGTCATTACTAACTACAGTCACTAACAGTCACTAATATTTTGATATACTTAAAGTTAATTAGAGTTTAAAATATTACTGAGAATATATGCGTTGTTTATGAGACTTCCATCAATAAGTTTTGACATAAGCTAACTTTGAGAAAAGTCACTTATTTTATACACCGTAATATTGTTAAGAGTTCAATTAAAAGCCTTTTTTCTCGAAAACCGTCCACATTAGGAAGTTCTAGCAAGAGTACATTATTTTTAGAAAATAAAATTGTACATTAGAGATTGAAGCCCGAATGGTGAAAAACCTTCTGAATATTAATTTAAAAAAATTATAAATCATTTTTGCCTCTCTTAACGCGCTTTCTTACGCCGATATCTCTTTATTATTAGAGATACTGCTTTTTTATTTAAACTGAGTATTTCGTTTAAAATTAACAGGTGGAGATGCGATTGTATGCATATTTATTCATTTGTTTCAATTTGAATGATCGTGTAATCTACTTACCCCTCAAATCTTCGGGTCCTTCCCCACCCCTCTCTCCCACCCTGGTGTACCGCTGATCGAATAAGTAGACTGAAAAAAAAAAGACAAAATAATTGTTGTTAATCGAACACGATGTTCTACTTTAAACATTTTATAAACATGGTTTAATAACAACGATAGTATATATTTACTTAGTACCGTTCGTGTCGTCTTTTATTTTTACAACAAAATAACGCCTCAAGGCCGACGCTATTCTAAATCCGCTTCGACAAACGCACGACCTGACATGAATATTTATAGTTAGATAATTTTTATGGTTTTCATTTGTTTTATACCTGAAGATTAGAGGTGGTGAAATTACTGCTAAACAAGCACATCACCCAACTATGTAGAAGAAAAAGTATAATGTATGCTTAAATTTAAGTTGGATAGCACGAAGATAAATATGCGGAATGTTGAAGTTTGCTGATAGAAAAAAAAATCGTTTTTATGAGCATTATCATTATTTCTGTCACGACGTCACGACCAACAAGGTATTCAATATCACCCTCGTTAATCTTACTATTTTTGAGGTCATGCAATGTTTATTATTTAAGTTACCTATTTCAAAACACTAATAATAGGTATAGTTAAACAACTTACATCATTACAAAATGCAAATCGATTAATGAATCATACACTTGTCTTAAGTGAATTATTTTCACTCATATATCCACTGTTGGTATTTCAAAGAATTGTTTGTGCTTATTTTGTCAACAAAACACAAACATGGATAAGTCGGCACGTGTACGGATTCTTTAATTTTGCTGGATTCATTCAGCCGAAACCGTGTGGCAAAGTTGAGTAAATAAAACGATTAATTGCTACAGAATAATTGAAAGCAATAGCGCAATACCAGTATCTGCACAATTTAGTGGCAACAATTTGCTAAACTTAGAGAATAGTTTTTAATTAATATCTGTATCGTCACTATTTGTCCGACGTGAAGCAAATCTACTTTTTTTTTAAGGTAATAGAAAATATATCAAACGAATGCCAGCTAACAAAAGAGAAGCAAAAAATTGATTAAAGAGAAGTTTGTGAAATTCGAATCGCTTTTACTTCTACCACAGCGTATATAAACCAGTAGTTTCGCTTACATACATTAGTTGCCGGCACTTTGATCACGTTCAGCCCATTTCGGTGTCCTTGGATGGAGAAACGCTGATCAGGGCCGTAATAAGAATTTTTTAATTAACCAAGAAAACGTATTAAAATGGATAACAATGGTGATAAACATACAATCTAAAAATCCTTAAATTATTAGGTAGTTTATTCGCTTTTTATTAATGGGTAACCTGATATGTTATAAATTATAGTTTCAGAACCACTTTAAGGAGGTATATCGGGTTTACCCAAATGCACAGATGTACTTGAAATTTATATAGCGTATTACCCAGTGCTCCCTCTGTGCGTCATATTTTTTTGATTTTTTTTGAATCGAGATTTTGAGATATTGTTGTTGAAAGTTGTTCATTTTAACATAGGTTTATATGGCGAAGATGGACGGTGCGGCTCTTTTTTTGCCCCGAACTGAGAAAAAAATGTAGAAATTGTAAAACAAAACTTTTCCATAGATAGTACACAGTATTATCTTATTTTTTTATGTAAAACTAATGTAAGTTTTGAACATAGTACAGCTGTATTAATTAGAAACAGAAACCAATAATTGCATTTCTGTCTGANGAAGTATCGAGAGACATCACTTTCTTCTTCCGATGAAAGTCATAAAACTGGTGATTAAGTCCTCTGGCCGGTATTTGTATCTAATCTGTGTACAGATTCATAGCATTTCGTATAGTGTGAAGTCACTAATCTGTGATATTCAAGACCTTTATTTTTATATCTGAATCGTTTCCATATCCCAGGTAGTTCTAAGACCTCGTCCTGACAGAAACTATTTCGGTTTTTTTGGATTTATTTTATTTATATCGATTCTCTTTTTGTCCACACTATTCTTTGTGTTGCTTTAATCTCATGTTAACGCGTCTCCCTGTTTGTCTCGCTAGTTTATCATTCATTCATAAACGGTAGACATATTTTTGTTTCCCACTTCTCTATTGTTAGATCCTACTGATAAAATTTAATATTTCTGTTAATACCTCCATGTCCTTTGAGAACTATTTGTAACTGATGAAGCTCCTCGTCCAAGAAGTGTTCTGGTTTTGGCTCAGGTTCTATATGGTTTCATTCCTTAGAATCTAATTACCTATTTATTTATTATATACTCAAGTTGCGATTGACTCTTTTTTAACTGACATCAATGTCAATTGGGTTACGAATCCAGAATGGCCATTAGGTTTCTTCTTGACAGGAATATTTTCGCTATCTTCCAACCTCACATCCTAATAGCCTAATGTATTGTATTATTAGGGTTCAGAAAACGTTCTAATAAATCATAGAGTATCAAATCAACTAATTTTTTTGTTAAAACAAGCCCACATCCAATTGTGTTGAAGTAATAACACTATTCGTTGAGTAATGTTTCCTCAATAATTTGTTAGGTTAGGTTAGGCTCTGGCTTTAGACTTGCAAACATCAGGGCTTTTCAAGAGTCTTACATGTGGTTATAGAGAAGAAGATACATGTAGATTTTGTGTGAAATTTACCGAGCGAGTGGTAAGTCGCTGACTCATGCCTCCAATGTGAACGAAGGCATATCACTGAATGATAGTTCAATTTGTGAATTTGGAAAGCTGGATTGTTTTCGTCATTTTAGACGAATCTCCACAACAAATGATAGAAGCCTCTATTGTTTTTTTATTGTCTTATACATCGAATCCTTCTTCATCTTAGTGATATACGCTGTTAATTTGTTTCGATTATATCTCCTTTGTTTTTGTTGGGTAAAATTTATTTTGAGATTTGAAGCCCTTAACGAAACCATTTTATATCTGCGATGAGAAGATTTCAATAACCTAATTGAATTCATGTTGATTCCGATAAGACAAAAGAAAAATTGTTATTAAAAACTCGTAACACCTATACAGGGTGTCTCACGGTGACGGCCCATTAGAATTATTTCAGAGACTACTTCGATTTGAATTTTGAAAATTTGGGATTCCGGGTTTTCGGGCATGCCCTTCTCAACTAAAATAATGGCGTCCACGTACCGCTTCCGGTTATACCGGAAGTCACCATCAACTTGCTTATTTTAAATGGAACACCCAATATATTATTGCAATTTTGGTTTCTACGTGTTATTTTAGGTGGTATTTAATTTCAAGATGAACTGTCTTGTGCATGAAATATTGTCGGGAATGTTTCTTATATGCTTCTACCTATAAATATGTAGGTTATTTGGATTTAGACAATCTATAGACACTGTAACTAGAACCTATAAAGACTATTTGCTCATGTCGTTTCATGTTATGCGCATCTTACGATTTCCACTCATCTGAATTTGCTGTGTTTCTACCTTATCTCATTCTTTATACTTTTTTGCTCTACAAAATTAGGTTTGTATTTCGGAAGGTACCAATTCCTTCTCTTGTTTTTTTATGAGTTGGTTTTGCTTCACTTACTTACAGTGTTGTCATAATCACAGGATTGTCTCTGTTTATTTAATGCAACACCAAATAATGTATATTGTTATTTCACGCATCACTGGTCTCTGCAGCATACCGTAGCGAATCCTTGCATCAAAATACACAAAACTAAAATTATAAACACCGGCTCGCTCTTGCGCAGTGATGTAATTTAATTTTATACAGATACGTGATAGACTCTTTGAAAGTCTCGTTGGAAAGTTTATTTCCATGAATAATGTCAACTAGCAGTGATTTGCTAGGTCTGTCTTTCTTTTCTTTTATATAAAATAATTTAAAATTTGGTTAGTTCTACATAAAAAAATTGAAAGAAATAAGTTCTGTAACAAATAACACCCTGTAGATAATTTTGGACTTGCATGCTTCAACATACTAGTTTTATAGTTTTCATAAAATATGTAGTTTTTTCTGAACTTAATATGACTAAATTTGCGTATGGCTTTATGACAATTGTTTAATTTTGAAATAATTTTTTATTATAACGCCTTATTGCCAATCAATACAGTTAAAGAAATAAAAAAAATATGAACATATCTTCATGGGTAATTTCCTTGGATGAAAATAAACTGATTTGAATTAGTTTTAAACTGATTTCCCTGAAATAGTATTTCGATTTTTGCCATATTCATTCGTTATAGTCCGGGCAAATTAGTCATAAAAATAGTGGTCAAATAATGAAAATTCTGACAGAGCTAAATTTTGGTGGAGACCTTGGGTACACCATTAGAAATAAAGTGTCAAAAGTGCCCACCGATCTCATGTTTGCTAAAAAAGTTATTCGGGGTCAAAGGTCAAAATTTGAGGTTTTTTGGATTTTTTTCGAAAACGGTAAGTTTTATCAAAAAAGTAGCTCAGACAAAAATTATAGATCTGAAGATTATCTACAAAAATGGTTCTTATACTTTTTTTTTAAGAACCACCATTCCTGAGATATCGCGATTCTAAAAGTTGAAGGAGATGATTACGAATTTATTTAGGAAAATAGCTCCAATACTGTTCATGTTATAAAAAATGCATATACATTTTTTGTTAGAAATACAATTTTATATACAATGTTACTATGAAGTACAAACAAATCAGTAGTGTAGGAATTTTTCTGAAGAAAATTAATCCTTTATAAAGTTCAAATGGAAACCACATTTGTTTTATACAGAAAGGGAAAGAACAGTAAGTTCTACTTTCAGAGATACGTATATTTGATCTAGAATCAGGCTGATCCCTAAAGGCCCTCTGAAAGTCAAACCAGGTTAAATGACCCCTAAATGTGACCCCAGGGCTCAAGGTCAAAGTCACAATTAGACCATAAACCATGACCACGGTAGTTTGCTACAAAAATGAATCAAACTTTGCCAAAAAATGTAAACATTTTAGTTGGAAAGCTGATTTGACTTTCAGAGGGCCCCTAGGGGTCAATCTCACCCAAGATCAAATCCCTGAATGTACAATTTCTTGCTCTTTCCATACAACAAATGTTGACTTCCAAGTTACCCCTAAGTTTGTCTTCTGGGTGAGAACAAAGCTCATTATCGTACGACCCCGTTAAAACCTTACAAATTTTGTGCTGAGAGTTTTCCAATTGGAGGTCATCCTAGAAGGTTATTCGGGGTGATCGATTAAAATGGGACACTGTGTATAACAAACCTTTTTTATTGATAATATCCTGCATGTCCACGATGAGCTTTCAGGCTAACATTGAATATTTTTCTTAAAACGTTAGTAATTAAAGATTTACTGTCTTTTGTTGTTTCTCTTTTATAACAGATTTAAGATGACTTTCTAAAACTTATACTGTTATAAGCTAACCTTATCTTATTTTCACGTGACATTCGTTGAATTTATGTGCTCTATATACGTCGGTTTGAAGAGAAGAGTCTCTAAATCCCAATCTAAACCAGTCACATCATCATATACTCGTTAACACTCTTAATATATAAAAAATGGATACATGTCGCAGAAGCACGATCTTCCTCGTACTGCGTATATCAACGAAAGGCAGAAGACTAAAAAAATACCTCCGCAACCCACACACGACCATCTAGAATACTCCATTAAGCAATTACACAACCCACCTTGACAGCTTTTCTCGCAGATGTCCTTATCATAGTTATGGCTACTGTTATCGCAGACACCCTTGCAGGGCTCGCAAATACTGTTATAAGGCGAACAGTATTCGGCCTCCTTGCAAGTCCTCTGGCCGCATTTCACCTCTCCTAGGGTCACAGAGAACTGTCCGCACTGGAAAAAGCACAGAACCAGCACCACCAGTGAAAATTTACACAAACCCCGCATTTTGGACGCCGAATTTCACATTTTAAGCGACAGGTAGGTTACGTGTCGTGTTGAAAAAGATGCAACAGGTGAACCGCGTCGACTTGACTGTGCCTGGCTACGTTTTTACCTGTGTGAGTCACCGGTCGGTCAGGACACCCGTATGTAGTGCGGTCTTACGGCTCATAGTGGTTCGCGTGGGCAGTGGTATTCGGTGGGAGGGGTGGTGTCCATACTCCATACCTGAAAGTAGCGTTACATCGGTTTGTATCTCTTTATGGACGGCTGTAACAATGGTCTTTTAATTATTGTACAACGACCGTCTGGAATTCCGATTTTCACTATCTACAGGGTCGTTGGAAGAGGTTGTCGCCTGATACCCATATACAGGGTGGGCCACCAGTAGCGCCTCGGTCGCTAGGGACCAAACGGCAAATGTTTAGGTGGGTACGTGTAGGTTGATTCCGGCTACATTTTAAAAATATTTTGAGATACACAGGATGTCCAGGAAAAGCGTGCCATATCAAAGTTATGTATTTTTAAATGGAATACCCTGCATTTTACTGCATTTTTGAAAACACCGTAAAAAAATAGGTGAACTTTATTCAAGGTTCTGCATACCTAGGACTTATTGTTTGTGAGATATTTCAATTTTAGTGGAAATGCGGGCTTAGCGCAGAAATTTAATATAAGCAATAAAAAAATAATTTTAAGGAAGCAGCTTCGGAGAGTGTATTTTAGATCCTTGAAGTTATAAATTATTATATTTGTCGTCACTTAGTATTATACAGGGTGTTCAAAAAACTGCTGAATACTTCTCTCAACTTTAAACATCAATAACTTGGTTATTTTAAATGGGACACCCAGTATATTTTTACTTTGGAAGTTAGGAAATTTAAAACTCTTTCAAATTGTGTATAGGTTCCCTATATCTATCTGTAAGGTATTGGAGATATTTGAGCTGATTCGTTGATTATCCATTTTTTCTGTAAGATGTATCCACGTGTCTTCATCGAGGTCTTTATTGAATTGGTTTGGGTTCTTCTTGATGACGTCTCTTTAAATATAAGGAGAAAAATGAGGATGCAATTAAATCAATCAAATATTTCATATTCAGTGGGAAATTATTTAAATTGAAGTAATAATGGATAAGTAAGAATGGTGCATGTCTGTGGCCACCTCGGTATTCAGACCTCACCGTAATGAACTTCTTTGTTTCGGGATATATAAAAAATCTTGTACCCAGTGTTCCACCTACTACTTGCAATGATATGAAGGAAAGGAATGTGAGAATATCATTTGAAGATATAATAAGATAGAATGTATAATTATGACAGACCTATAGCATTACCGACATTTTTTTTTAATAGGACTTTAAAAAAATATTGCAGAAAAGTGACAATTTCTATTTACTATTGACCTGTTTCAGCAATTTTTTTAAATTTCATCTGGAAAAAATATATGAATTTCTTTCCATCATTTTGGGACACACTGTATATTTACTGTAAGTTCTCATTCATGAATGAGTTCAAAAACTGCAAATAGTATAGGGTAGGTCGCTCAAATATGGACAAATTTAAGAAAAATAATCAATACACTTTCTCTTTATAGAGATTAGAGACCTTTAAAAATTGCATTCTTTCTCTTTACGTCGCACAAAAATATACTTACTTTATGTTGTCCCTGATTATTTCATGAAACAGTTGCACGCAAGTCCGAGAAATATAAGGTAAGTCGCCCAAATATGGATACACTTAATACAAGGTATCAGTATATTTCGTATTCTTTATGAGGGATTGTAACAATTCTTCTTTCTCTTTATACTTCACAAAAATACATGTACATTATTCCGGATTATTTCATGAAACAGTTAAAAAAGAACATAAGGTAAGTCACAGACTAATACACTTAAGAATGAATATAAATATATTTCTATAGATATTTAGTTGTAGACCTCTTTCTTCTGTTTTGATTTGGACATTTTCTTGTCTTCACATTTAAATATACTTATTCCATGTGTACCTGATTATTTCATGAAATAGTTGAAAAAAACTTCGTGAAACCAAAGGTAAGTCGCCCAAATATGGACACATTCAAGAAAAGTATCAATATGTTCTTTCTTTTTATGGAGTATTGTAACAAGTGAATTCTTACTCTTTACATCTCACAAAAATAAACTTACTCAATGTTCTCCCTGATTATTTCATAAAATTGTTGAAAAAAAATCCTTGTAAAGTAGTCCAAATATGGATATAACTAAGAAAAAGTGTCAATATATTTCTATTTCATTATGAAGGACTATAACAACTCTTTTTGTTTCCTTCACATCTCACACTGACATACCAGTTTATTGTTCTATGAGACTGTCGTATGAAACAGCTGAAAAATCCGTAGAATATAAGGGTACTTAAGTTGTACAAATATGAGCACGCTTGAGAAAAAACACATTTTTTAAAAAAACAGTTTTCGTTTCACATTTCACGAAAGCATACGTATATGTTCTCTCTGACAATGAAGGTAAGTTAACATAAGGTAACTTGCCTAAATAAGGAAACAGTATCTAATTTTTTTATGGGAGACTTCAAGAACAGTTTTCTTTCTCTTCCTAATTCACAAAAGCATACGTACAACATATTATTTCATGAAACAGTTGAAAAAGTCCATAATGTATAAGGTAAGTTGCCTCAATGTACATTTTTAAAAACGTGTAGTGTCAGACATTCAAAAACAAATACACATGAGTATAATAACTTTATTTTTTATATTTGGATATATCCTTCTTATTTTTAATTTTAAAACATGTTTTCTAGAATGAATAAACTCGTAGTAACTGAATTTCTGTTGTTCCCTTTCGGCCCTCTTGTTATTTTCCAGGGTCAATTGCCCCCCTGGCCGCCCCCAGGTGGCTCCCATCCTTGTGTATCGCCGGCATAATTTCGTTAGAGTTCGTCGAACGATGAAGGTGTAAAGCGATACATATCTCAAGCGGCACTGGAAATTGTAAAATCGGGTCGATTTCGAAAGCTGAGTTCCGTGTGCTGGCGCAATGTGCTGTTTCATACTGAAACTGACTTTAATTTCATCTAATTTAAAATTTACACATATTTATATGTGTTTTGTGGTGGTTTTTGAATTATTGCGAGGTATTTAGTTCTAACGGTATTTTGATATATTTGCCTGATATTGTGAAAGTATTTTGAATATTTCAATGTACTTTACAGCGGGTATGAACAATTTATATTCTGAGGCTACAGTAGTATAAATTGTGGAAATTCACATAGGCTTTTTACTTATTTGTAATGGTATTTATACACAAAATATGTAAAATGAAATGAACCCACTAAACCTAGTTTTTTGATAATTGATTACAGTAGTTGGGTACACAAATATACTGTGGTCATATACAGGGTGTCCCTGAAAAGGATGGACAACGCTTGACCTTGGCGACCAAGGTTCCTTGGATGAAAATAAGACTATTTAGCCTAACTTACCTATATACAAGAGTGCACGCCTACTGAGATATACTCTTCTAAATATAGAACAGATAACCTAGTTTTTCTTAGAAATTTTAAATTTGGTACACATATTTTTTTATATACGGGCAATGTAAATATAGAATTTGTTGAGAATACATATACAGGATGTTCTATTTCTAGTGCCTGTGCGCCACTGGCTATCCCGTAACTTTTTTGTATGTACGCCAATGACGACAGAATTTATATTTTTAAAAATAAGCACTATTTTAGAAGATTTTTTGTCTCTTACAAAATTTTGATATCGTTTATGGATTTCGAGTAAAATTGGCATCTTTTACACATTAAATAATATAAAATCAGTTTAAGATAAATAGAACATTCTAGTACGAGGTGCCATATAACAGAGAAACAAATTTATAACAATAATTAAAAGGTTCTGTGTCAAACTAGCTGTGATTTAATTTCAGCTTACTTTGTTTTTTTTATTGCAATTTATACATTTGCTGAACAATGATATGCTGATATGTTAGTAGTTTAGGGTTATTGTGAAGGAAATTGTTGTGCTACTGTTCGAACATATGCTGAAAGATTTTCGAATCGAAGAACTCCAAATCACAAAACATTTGCTAATGCGAAGAAACGCCTTCGGGAGACAGGACGTTTTTTACCTGTAACATTAAATCGTGGATAATGTACGGCGAACGAATATGGGAAAGAATACAACATGAAATTATTGTTATGAGAGGTAATGCAATTATTGGATTATTTCTAATTTTCGATGAACTAATGTTTGCGCGTTTAAGAACAAGAAAGTAACTTTAAGCATTTACTGTAATATTATTTTAATGTGATTATTATTTATTTAAAATGTTAATGTTGACTTTCTTACATTATTAGTTGATATTGTTTATTTAAAATATTAGTGTTGATTTTTATTTTATTGATTGATAATACTAATACCAAAAATGTGTAGTTATTTTTTTTAATGTGACGTTTTTTCATTATTATTCCCTGCTTTGAGGCCGCAGTTATAAATTATTTTTTATAAATCGGAATTTTTGCCTATATTTAATGTATAAAAAATGCGAATTTTACTCGAAATCCATAAACGATATCGAAATTTTGTAAGAGCAAAAAAATCTTCTAAAACAGTGCTTATTTTTAAAAATATTAATTCTGTCGTCATTGGCGCACACACAAAAAAGTTACGGGATAGTCAGTGGCGCACAGGCACTAGAAATAGAACATCCTGTACATGTATTCTCTCCAAATTCTATATTTACCTTGCAAATATAAAAAAATAAGTGTACCAAATTTGAAGTTTCTAAGAAAAATAATTTTCAAATTATTTGAAAAAAACTAGGTTATCTATTTTATAGCAGGCGTGCACTTTTGTATATACGTAAGTTAGGCTAAATAGTCTTATATCCAAGGAACCTGTGGTCAAGCGTTGTCCATCCTTTTCAGGGATACCCTGTATATTTAATACTTCAAGTAATAATTTAATTCTCATATATTTTATACAGGATGATTGAAAATTCAGTACAAAGAATTTAGGGGCGTATTTTTGAGGACAAAATTAGACTTTTTTTTCCTATAAACGTGGGTCCACAAATGCTTAGTTTTCGATATACAGGATGTTAAAGTTTTAAATTTT